AAAAAAGGTAAAAAATTTGAAAAAAGTTTTTAAAAATGCAAAAAAAAATTTTTAAAAAAGCGAAAAAAATTGCAAAAACCAAGAAAGCAAAAAAGGCAACAAAATTTGCAACAATGAAAAAAAGCAAAAATTTAAAATTTTAAAAATTGCAAAAAAAATCGAAAAAAAATTGCAAAAAAAGATGCAAAAAAAATTGCAAAAAAGGCAAAAATTTTGCAAAAATAAATTTTAAAAAGGAAAAAAAAGCAAAAAAGTTATGTAAAAAAAAGGGGGAAAAAAGAAAAAAAGGGGAAAAAATGAAAAAACGCAAAAAATTACAAAAAGCAAAAAATTTGCAAAAAAAAAGCAAAAAGGAAAAAAATTAAAACCAAAAAAAAAGCCAAAAAAATTGCAAAAAAAGCAAAGAAAAAAAAATTAAAACCGCAAAAAAATTTGCAAAAAAATGCAAAAAAGAAAAAAAAATTAAAACGCAAAAAAAAGCAAAAAAATTTGGAAAACGAAAGCAAAAAAAGAGGAAAAAAGCGCCAAAAAATTCCACGAAAAGCGCAAAAAAATTGAAAAAAATGCGTAAAAGAAAAATATTTTAAAACGAAAAAAAAGCGCAAAAAAATGTGGAAAGAAAAAGAAAAAAAAGGCAAAAAAATGCAAAGAAGAAAAAAATTAAAAACGCAAAAAAATGAAAAATTATTTGCAAAAAGATGCAAAAAAAGCGCCCAAAAAAATCGCAAAAGAATTCCAAAAAATATGCAAAAAAAAGCAAAAAAAAAAGCAAAAAAAATTGCAAAACCCAAAACGATGCAAAATAATTTTAAAAATTGAAAAACATTTAAAAAAATTGAAAAAAATTTGCAAAAAAAAAGAAAAAATTTGCAAAAAAAAGCAAAAAAAGAAAAAATTTAAACGCGAAAAAAATTGCAAAAAATTTTGCAAAAAGATGCAAAAAAACCCGCCAAAAAAATAAAAAAATTAGTTCAAAAAAAATGCAAAAAAAAGCAAAAATATTGCAAAAAACCAAAAAGATGCAAAATAATAAAAAAAAAATGAAAAAAATTGCAAAAAATTTGCAAAAAAAAGCAAAAAAAGAAAAAATTTAAAAGTGAAAAAAGTGCAAAAAAATTTGAAAAAAGATGCAAAAAAAGGCCCAAAAAATGGCAAAAAAAATGCAAAAAAGGCAAATAATTTTTCAAAAATAAAGCAAAAAAAAAAGAAAAAAAACCGGAAAAAATTTACAAAACAGTTATGCAAAAAAAATGAGGAAAAAAGGGGAAAAAAAATGAAAAACGCAAAAACATTGCAAAAAAATTGCAAAAAATTTGCAAAACATTTTGCAAAGATTAAAAAATTTAAAAACTAAAAAAAACCCCAAAAAATGCAAAAAAATTGCAAAAAAAAAATTGCAAAAAAAATTGCAAAAAATGCAAAAAAATGCCAAAAAGAAAAAAATTAAAAACGCAAAAACAAAAAAAGGCCCAAAAAAATGCAAAAAACCCCCCAAAATTTGCAATGAAAAAGCAAGAGAGAAAAAAATTAAAAACGAAAAAACAAAGCAAAAAAAAAATTGCAAAATAATGCCAAAAAATGGCAAAAAGAAAGCAAAAAA